TTGGTGTGGATTTTCAGCCCCCAGAATCTGCAATTTTGCTTTTTTAGGTACCCATTGAGGTGAAAACGAGCCTCATCAGAAAAGAGCACTTTGGCCGAAAATCCGTCTTCTCTTTCCAGCATCCAATTGACAAAAACACTGCCGGCTTCAATTCTTGTGTTAGTTGGATTTTGTATGGATGGAGTTGTAAATCAATGTGTAAAATCCGGCGTAAAGTGGTCTCACTAATTCCCAATTGTTGCGAACGGTGCCTAGTCGAGGTGGTTGGATCTTCTCGCACACTTTCACTCACTGCGGCTATGTTTTCACGAGTACGAACTGGACGAGCCTGTTGGTATGGTCTACGACCTTCAGCTGAACCAGTTTCCTCAAAACGATTAACAATCCAACGAATTCCAGGCTCTGTAGGGCGTCCATGTCGGTCAAAACTAGCGCCATGTTTGCGAATAGTATTTTTTATATTTCGACCGTTTTCGTAATAAGTTTGGATAACCAAAATCCGTTGAATGAATGACTTTTGACTCACATGGTAACACATAAACTTATAGGTAAAAAAACGTAATAGATGGCGCACCCAGTACTAGACTGAATCCGCAAATGATCTTAAAAACTTAAATTTACTCAGATTGTTTGCAACACCATCTAGGCATTTTTTTTTGGAAGATGTGCCTCTTGAAGCAGGAAGAATGATGTGGTATATTGATGAAACATCTCCCAGAAGACGTGATTGGCTGGCTAGGATCTATTTTGTGGTCCTCACGCTCCCCAGATTTGAACCCTCTCGATTTTTCTATTGGTGACGTTTAAAACATAAGGTCAATGGAAAACCAGTTCGATCAACCGACGAACTCAGTCATCAATCCGTCAAGCAGCACGTAAAATATCCGATTTAAGTTTAAAAGGACTATTTTTAAGAAGGTGCAGGTAGTGTATAAGAGTCGGTGGTAGACATTTTGAAAATCTGTTGTGAAAATAATAATAAAGATAATAATAATGACTTATTTCAGGCAATATTTTCCGCAGGAAAGTAAACGCATATTAAAACAAGAAAGATTGATATTCAAATCAAGTTGGGTACTTTATTTTGAAGGTTCATTTATACCATTTATGTATGAAAAATAATATCGCTCAAATGTTCACCACGACTGGATTTACAGACGCGATGGTCGAAATTTTCAATGACATTTTGCAACATGGTCGGTTCTATGGCATTTATCTCGGCAATGATGTTGTTTTTGAGTTCATGGAGGGTGGCTGGTTTGTTGACGTAGACTTTACTTTTCAAATATCCCCAAGGGAGTCAAATCGCACGATCTTGGTGGCCATGGCACATTTCCTCTGCGTGAAATCACGCGATCACCGAAGAAGGACTGCAATCGATGGATATTGACGTTGGTTGTGTGGCATGTTGCACCGTCTTGTTGGAAATAAACATCGTCCATATCCATTCCTTCAAGTTGCGGCAAAAAATAGTCCTCTATCATCACGAGATATCGCTCAGAATTGACGGTAACGGCGTCCCCGGCCGCATTTTCGAAAAAGTAAGGTCCGATGATGCCTTTTGACCACAATTCACACCACACGGTCGCTTTTTGAGGATGCATCGGCTGCTCTTGATACTCACGGGGATTTTCGTTCGCCCAGATGCGGCAGTTTTGCTTGTTTACCGTCCCATTCAAAGTGAAATGCGCTTCGTCGCTGAACATGATTGTTGATGAAAAATTGGCATCAATTTGGCGGTGTTCAAGGAGCCAATCTGAGAACGTTCCGCGCGAAAAATGGTCAGCCCGACGCAGCTCTTGTGTCAATTGGATCTTGTAGGCGTGTACATTCAAATCCTTTTGGAGAATGCGGATCAAACTGGTTCTCGAAATGCCCAATTCTTGGGATCGACGCGTTGTTGATTGTTTCGGATCGTCTCTCACACTCTCCTTCACAACAGCAATATTTTCCGGTGTGCGAACGCTACTTGGCCGGCCAGAGCCTGGCAGATTTGCCACAGAACCTGTTGCCTCGAATTTACGCACCAGACGACCGATGGTTGTTTCGTTTGGGCGGTTGTCGCGACCGAAATGTTCATGAAGCGCGCGAAACGTGTTTTTTATTTTTGTACCATTTTTGTAGTGCTCTTGAATAACTTTAATGCGGTCTTCAATCGAATACGACTCCATAGCGATCAATGATAAACATTCAACTAACAAAATGACATGTCGGTGACAGAAAACAAAGATGGCGTCTATGTCAAATTGACGTTTACTTTCCTGCGTCCCTATTGGACAACCCATACATTACAGGATGTTAATTTAATTTTTATTTAATTAATTTAGGATGTTAATAATGATTACTGATTCTTTATTTGATATGAATGTTGTAAACTCAATGGAAATAAAAAAATACAACCTAATTTTCTGTTCATTATTTTGATGCCTGCATATAGCAATGATTAAAAAAGAATAATGGAATGCTATTTAAGACATTTGCTAAAGTAAAAAGTTATTGGAGCAACTACAAAGTTGTAATTAGGACACAAAATACAGCTGCACTTATTATTTTTTATTTGTAGTATTTAGCAAGTATTACGACTTCAATGACGTAAGTTGGAATTATTCAGTTTTTAGAAAAAAGAACGTACCAAGGTTATACTATTTTTGAAAGGGCATTAAATAGCTAGTTTTTAAGGTCATTTGATGATTCAGTCTGGTACATGTTTTTCACAGTAATTAGTCAAACTTTAGTAAAGGTTTTCGCATTAAAACCAAATGTAATAATTTACTTTTTTTAGCATACCGTGCTAGTTTTCAATGGAATGAATACTCGGTTATCTCAACCATTAATAATTGTTGGCCAGGAAAAAATCATAAGTTAGGATTTCTTTATAGCCATAACAGGAGCAAAAAGTAGGAATATTTTGAAAAAACTTAAAAGTGTCAATATCTTGAAAACTAGTCTGAGGTCCTGTTGATTTTATCTGATTGATCTGAAGCCAAACTACCTCCCGTGTCACTCTGGCGTTTTATCTCTGGGAGGCCACAGGATGGAAGTTTTCCTATCTAGCCTTGTTTGTAGCTGTTCTGAAATTAATCATCGCTACCTCGTGACATGGAACGAAATTTGTGTGAAATGCTCACACATTTATCCCAACAGCGGTCATAGATCACATTGCTTTCTATGAAACCCACAATAAAATTTAATATTTTACGCCAACACTTACGATGCAGAGGAAAGCCGTCTGAGAATTGAGTATAATATAAAATGACGTTTAAATATGACAGGACAGAGAAATGTAACAACAGCCGGAAACCGGATGCCTAGGGATATATATTAGGATATATTTTCGATAGAAGTGTCCATAAGGAACGTTCCGGTGATATGGGTTTGCAGGCGTTAGCTCTCAAACACGGCTGCAAGCAGTAAAGCGATCGTGACAGAAATGTTACAATTTTACTATTTTAGTGAATATTTAGATGCTCTAGGGCAGGAGTTTCCAACCAGGGGGGCGCGCCTCTCAAGAGGCGCATAGAGAGCTGTCAAGAAAGGCGGAAAGCGTTTGCATTTTAGAAAGAAAAAACAAAAAAAAATAAACAAACAACATTACAATGTAATGTTTAAATTACACGCATAAAATTAGAAATTGAATGTCATATTTACCTATTCTGTCAATCGTTGTTTTAAAACAAAGCGTCGTAAATCGCAGTTTATACAAGTTTCGACAAGTCACAACATGAAATCCGCGCGCACCCCCGCCGCGCCCCGATTAACATCCATCACTTAGAAAACAATTGTGTACCTACCAGACGCGGATGAGCATCTGCGACATTCATTCCCACAAACATGCGCAAAAATTTGACGTTTTGATGTTCATGTTTTGTTGCGGAATCTGTTTGAGTGTGTCAAATTATGGTGTCTTACTTTTAAAAGGTAAGTTTGTGTACGTTATTAAGATACAATAATATAATTAGTAATTACATGTAGGTATTTCGCGTATTTATTTATTACTTATTGGTTTTGTTGTTATAGGTGCAAAATGGAAGATTACGTTAAGTTTGGATTTACCTTCATAGAAAAAGACGAGTTACAATTGCCTCAGTGTGTTATACGAGGGATGTCTTTTAAGTTTTGCATATGGAAATAAAACAACACGGTAGGTAGTTTTAAATGACTGGAGGATGGTCCTTGTTTTTGGGCTGTGTGCGAGCTTGCATTGTCTTGGTGGAGGATGATTCTTCTTTCGGGGTTGATTTTTCGAAGCTCGGTGATGACCTTTGGCAAACAAATGGTGGTATACCAATACGCAGTAACAGTTCTTTGCTCATTAAGAGGAATCGTTGCAGTATGACCCGCTTTTGACACAAATGTCGCGACCATCTTTTTCGAAACACTTCGAGAACGGATGACTTGTTGGCTTTTCTTCACCCTGGAACACCCAAACAGCCCTGGCTTCAGTCAACAGGTGGGGTATCCAACGAGAAACTAATTTTCTTACTCCTAATTCTTCATGTAAATTTTTTTGAATCGATGTCTTTGAGATCTGCAAGGACGCCTCAATCTCGCGATATGTCACGTGTCTATCTTCAACTATGAGTTTGCGCACAGCATCGACGTTTTCCTGGGCAACTGCCATCTTTGGTGCACCCACCCTGGGATCGTCGCTAAGACTCACCCGTCCACGTTTGAATTCTCCATACCAACGGGAAATTTTACTCCTAAGTCTTCATATAAATTTTTTGAATTGAGGTCTTTGAGATCTTCAAGGACGCCTCAATCTCGCGATATGTCACATGTCTATCTTCAATGAGCATCGACGTTTTCCTGGTTGCACAAACCCTGGGATCGTATTGTTGTGAAACTTTGAATTTAAGTTTACTCAAGAGTGAGGTTAAGATTCAGTACTGACGTTCGATCCGCGCGGCCTACTATGTTTCTATATGCAAAACTTAAAAGACATCCCTCGTACGTATGAAAGTTTTAAGTAATGATAGCAGACCCAATCGCCATGAAAGGCATTTGAAGCAACAACATCCTACTCTGGTTCTGAAGATGAAAGAGTTTTTTTTTCTTCTAAAGCAGAATCACTCAAGCAGATGGGACTGGATAAATCGGAAAGTTATCACACAGATGTATCGCAGCATCTCAAAGCTTCATTTGAAATAGCTTTTATGATAGCAAAGCAAAAGAAAGCTCATACTATCGGTGAAGAATTAATAAAACTATGTGTCCTAAAAGCCACGCAGATAATTTTATGAGAAGGTGCAGAGCAAAAAATTAAGTCTATTTCTCTTCCAAATAACACAGTCAAGCGTACAATCGATGACATTGCAGCAGACATAAAGTCGCAAATAATTAACAAAGTAAAATTATCGACATTCTTGCCTTTAGATGCGACATTGATAATTGTGCACAATTATTAGTTTATGTTCGTTACATCGGAGGAGGTATCGGAATATCAGAACAGATTTTGTACTCCTAATCTTTGACAGCAGATACTGCATCTGAAGATATCAAATTTTATTGAATAAAATTATTTGGATTGGAAGAAACTCATTGTCTTTGCACAGATGGCGCACCTGCCATGATAGGTGTACCATCGGGCTTAGCTTGGAAAAAAATACCGCAATGGATAGTGCACATTTTGTTATTCATCGGAAAGCTTTGGCTTCCAAAAAATTGCTACAGACTTTGGACTCGGCTATAAGGATTGTAAACTACATCAAGAGCTGCGCTTTAAACAGTCGGTTATTTGCTTTGCGAGGATCTCTATTCTGATCACAAAATTCTTCTGTACCATACAGAAGTACGCTGGCTGTTCAAAAGCAACATGTCGGCTCGCCTTGATGAATTGAAAGAAGAGGTAATTCATTTTCTTGAGTCCCAAGAAAAACACGATTTCTTGACAATGTTCAATAAGGACACATTGGACACTGTTAAACATGTAAGACCGTGAGACATGGCGACGCTTTCATATGAGAACATATATATTTTTTGCTATAATTTCGAACTCGGGAACCTCATCTCTCCAGAGAGCCGAAGCTACTGTTCTTGGGAGGGTTTACCTTTAAAAGTATTTGACCAGTACGTACGTACCTCGTAAAAATATTGTCTCGTTATAGAAATTCTCTGCTTTAGAAATATCCGTGCCTCTTTTCCATCAGATGAAAAATGTAGTCTCGCTGTGTTAAATGGATATATAAGGAACTCCTGCTCATTTATTCAGAACCTATTTTATAGTTGAAAAGGAATTAAACAGAATATCTACTCTCCACTACGCCAGAAAAGCAGATGGGAATTCAAATTCATAATTTCAGTTGACTTTTAGAAAACTGCTTTGGATTAAATTGCTATAATAAACGTCATCTATATGGGACAAATCTACGAACTATATTGTTCATAATAACATTTGTCGAATGACTTCTAATCGGTGTTTGAATAATTGTGCAGGCTATCCAATATTTGTTATCACCTACAAAAGATGCTTTAGGTTTACCATGATTATAGGTACATCATACAGGGTTTGTCCGGAAAGTAATAAGACTCATTTCCTTCCGCCATGACTGTACTTCGGAGCGTGCGCGTGGTTTATGACATTGTGACAGAGCATTTGAACATGCGCAAGGTGTGCGCGAAGATGGTCCCAAAAGTGCTCACTGACGACCAGAAATTGCGGCGAGTGGAAGTGTGCCAAGAAAATTTGAACATGCGTGAAAGTGACCCCCAATTTTCGAATAACGTAATCACAGGTGACGAGTCGTGGATCTTTGAGTATGATCCCGAGACAAAGAGGCAATCTTCCGAGTGGCACACGACGGCGCCTCCTCGCCCAAAACAGGGAAGAATTAGCAAATGAAAAGTGAAAACGATGCTCATTGTCTTTTTTGACATCAAAGGCATCGTCCTCCTAGACAAACCGTCAACGCCAAGTTTTACGTGGAAGTGCTCAGGAGACTCAAACGAAGGGTCAGTCGGGTCCGACAAGACATCGCAGCCGACTGGAAGTTGCACCACGACAACGCCCCGGCTCACACCGCCTTTCTTGTGAACAGCTACCTGACCAAGGCCGGCATCCCAACTCTTCCGCAGCCGCCCTACAGCCCAGAGTGCCCCCCCCCCCCGGACTTTTTTTTGTTTCCTCGCCTGAAAAGGCCGATGAAAGGCAAGCATTTTGAGACGACAGAGGGGATCCAAGCAGCATGCACCGCGGCTCTTAAGGCTATTCCGGAAAATGCCTTCTGTGACGCCTTCAATGCTTGGAAATCGCGCTGGCAGTGCTGCAAAGGAGCCTATTTTGAAAGTTTCTAAAGAATTGTAACGATTGGGTCAATAAATTTTTTTTAATCGACTCAGTCCTATTACTTTCCGGACAAACCCTGTATATACACTGCCACGCAAAATTAACCAAACAAACAAAAATTTTTTCAAATTAAATTTGAAATAACTTTACATCAATTTCGTTAATTTTTTCGCAAAGGTGTAGGTAATTTCATTGTTATCATTATCGACTATCGATCTTGCAAAAACATTGAAAATGTTTCTTGTTATACAGGGTGTAACTAAAAGTTGCATTTTGCAATAAATTTAAGAACACCCTGTGGAAAACATTGGATTACTAAATAATGTGTCTTCGTATGACAATTTTAAGCCTCAACCTTTTTTAACAGTTCTTTTTTTTATTCATGTCAATATCTCAATTATTGAAGAATATATGCTGTTGAAGAAAATCGTGCGAATCATAGCCATAAACAATTTAATTAAAACGCATGAGATAAAATGCGGCGTCAGTTATAATTTCTATCTCGTCAACTAAGTGTCCCTTTTCCTGTCAGTGACGACAAAATGGTACGAAAGTGTGGGCCTTATTTTCCTTAGTAACGTAATAAAAAATCGTCCCTCTATTTAGCTGCAAAAACCTACTTCTTATGTAAATCCTGGAATCACTTTTGGAGAAAAGGGAAACCTCTGTTTATGCGCTCTTTTATTCCTCTTACTGGACATTTAAAAGCGGAAATAAGGTACCCCGTCAATTCTTTGAAGGCCAATTTGCAAAACAAAGTGTCCCTCGAATTTCGGGATGTGGTCGTAACGTTCCTCTTGCATGAAAAAAGGGAGAAAGAGGGAAATTCAGATTAAATCTGCAACAGACAGTTTTACGTCGGGAACTTCCCCATCACTTTAAACCGACTCTCTCATTTTGTATGTTAACGTATTCCTATAATAGTGTGGCTTTCCTTGAATTTACACCTCTATCGCACCCTATATGGCGTGCTAAACTTTTGTATGAAGTCATAGATTTTGAACTTATCTGTAAGCCAAGACTAAATTTGCACAAAACAAATTAGCTGTCAAGGTTGTGTCTCAACGATCACAATTCTAGAAGATTGAAATATACTGAGTGAGGAAGAAAAAGGTAAACACCTGCGTAAGTTTGTCCTTTTTTTATCGCCCACATTGGGTGCTACCTCTCACAGCTGAACATCGGCGTAACCGTTTGCTCTAGTGAATAGAAAGAATTATATGGGTCCGGAAATGGAATCAGGTGGTCTTTAGTGACGAGTCCCGCTTCTGTCTGGGGATGCACGATTGTCTGGCCAAAGCTTCATATAAACACTCGTTCGCTTTGTAATTGACAAGTTCATAGCTGATTTATTTGCACATATTTTATACCAGATAGCTCAACATATTTCTTCTATGTTTTACTTCGTCATTAAAGAAAGTTAAAAATGGACGTTTTGGGCCTGAGGTTTTATTGAGTGCTTTATTATTTTCAGAACGTTCCATTACTGATTTATCATTGCTTGCGTGGATGCTCTACGAACAAACAAAAAAAAAGACGAGGACAATATTGAAAAGATTTTTGTTGACACGATGGTCAGGAGTAACTAATTAATATGTTGTCTGCTTCCTGGGAAAAAAATATTTCGGATAGAATTCTTGAAGATTCCCCATCATATGCTGTATTTGGACTTTCACTATATGTATTCTTATATTGTGAGAACGATGAGTAAATGAACAAATTAGTATTTCATTTAGTTTTTCTTGGTATCGTTGGAGCTTGTTTACAAAAAACTCACGGTCATCACAGTATCGTTAGAAAGGCTTCACAGACAAACCATAGTAAGTTTTCAAATTGTTTTCAGCTGAGCCAAAATCATAGAATCCTTGGAAATTGTGTGAAAAGACTGCAAAGACAAACTATAGTATCACTGGAAATTGTATAAAAAAACTTTAGTTAAAAATCAGATCCTTGGAAGGCCGCGTACATAGTATCATTGGAGATTGTATACAAAGACAGATCACAGTATCATTGAAAATTCTTGACGTGGAGAAAATAATAACGTATACTGAATTACTAGGGTGCACAAATAATTGGTAGAACAATTAATTTAAATCTGTATTCAATTTTTTTGCGTTATTGGAAATTAATAGATCATAGTATCAAAGGAAACTGCTTGCAAGAACTTTGGAGACATCACAGAAATTTTGCACGCGGATACAATAGTACCATGTACGCTCAATCACTACGGTGCACCAGTAACAGATAGAGCAAAGGGCAATAAATTGCTGGTGGGAGATATACTTCAGTTCAATTTCTATATCGCAACGTTGTCAAATGGCAATGGGGACAAATCGTGTGGACCAATTTGACTGACTTGATCGATTTAATTTTATTGTTATACATATTTGTTTCTTAGAGAGGTTAACTTGTGCTGAATATATTTTATGAACTGATGACATCGTTGTTTGAAGAGCTCATGGTAAACTTGCTTGAGGCCATTTTTCGTCAACTAGTCGACATTTTTTCAATGTACTATTAGGCTGTTTTGAACGTGCAAATCTATATAATTCTATTGTTGCTCTAACCAACTGATGGATTTACTCACGTCACTAAGACTGAAACCTCCAAAAACTCCGAACCTGACGGACACTACAGCAAAACATAATTAAGAGAGAATCGTGCCAGAACCGAGTTCTACCTCTAGTGAGGGATGGGGGATGTATATTATAAATGTTCTGCGGGCCACTGATACATAAATCAGACGGAAACCCTAGGTGTATTGATGTCGTGTCATAATACGGATATACGTTATGTATATACTACGATTGTTGGATTGTTGCGAGGTATTCTATGGGTGATTTGCATTCGTAACAAAACCGGACGGCTGCCAGTCGTACGCTTGCGAAATATTCACGAGTAATTAGGCCAGCGTGTGACGCCCCCTTGTACTGAGTCATTTTTAATTTTCAGCCTAAAATTCCATTGTGAAGCTTGGAGGGGAATCCGGAGCTATGATTGTGACCTAGTTTGGGGAATGATCCTATGTATTGCACTTCTCGGTCCAAATACCTCATAAAATTACTCTCTTGTATACCGATACAGATTCTCTGATGTGTCTCGAGTCAGTTTTCTGTTATGCTTAGCAGTAGGATCGTATCCTGGCCAGGCTTCCTAGAGAACCCTATTCAGCCTGTATCTAGTTTATGCAGCTTCTGGATAGTACGTCAAACCTCGTAGCTTGGAGAGTACTTCAGGGCCGTATCGTCAGTCGTTCCTACAATTGTAGTACGCCTTCATGGCCTCCTTGATTCTCATAGTTGTGA